CTCTTTATCGTGATGCGTATCGTATCGTGACTTTGCTGGTGATACACAGCCCTAGTATTCGGCCAATCACATCTCACTGGATAGCTGGCCAATCAGAGCACACCTCGCTTTTCAGACCGATGAGCTTAGTATAAATCGACGCGTTTCAGAAAGGCAGGACATAGAGGAGAAACAGTAATGTACAGTATGTGGAAAATAATGTGTTTTTTTAACCTTAAACCGCATAAACACATTGCATTACACCAAATACACAAAATAATGTTCTTTTTAGCAGCATCATATGACCCCTTTAATACTTTTATTCAGAAAGGACACATTAAGTTCATCAAAACTGACAGTAAAGACTATATACTTTTACAAAAGATTTCTATTTTAAATAAATGCTGTTCTTTTGAACTTTCTATTCATCAAACATATACAAGTATTAAGCAGCACAACTGTTTTCAACATTGATAAGAAGAAGAAATGTTTCTTGAACATCAAATCAGCATAAGGATATTATTAAGGATAAGGACAGTATTATTTCACTTTATTACTATTTTACTGTAAAATATCTAAGTGACCCCAAACTTTTGAACAGTAGTGTATGATTTTTGTCTAGTGAAGGAGAAAAAGTGAGCGAGTGACTTAGGCCAATAAGTAACTACCCAGTCTCTGTGGTAGAAAGTACATGGGTAAACAGCACTCAGATCTATTGTAATTTAATTTAGTACACTTTAATGGCCAGTTGGAAATATCCATGATGATAAATGCTCTCAATTTAGCAGTCATTTGCAGTTATGACCCTAGACAACACAACATCTGATGCTGCGCAGGCAGTCAGATGTTTGAAAGTGAGATGCTAATGCTAATGCTAATGTTCCACTTACAGTAAATGTGTAAATGGATGTTGTGTTTGTGTGTTCAGGGTCTATGCCTACGGATTATGAGCTGTACTACGGCTTCAGCAGGTTTGCCATAGAGCTCAATGAGCTCTGCCCTGAGCTGAAGGAGCTGCTGCCACCAACAGATGCTCGATTCAGGCCGGACCAGAGGTACATGCAGTGTCTCAAATTACACTCTTACTGTAAAAACATACTGCAGTTTAGTGGCAGAGGAGAGTGATCCATAGCCTCACAAGAAGTAGTCACTCTAGAAATGATTTCGACCTTGTTTTGAAGGATTCCATAAAGCCTCACTTATCTTTGAAAGGCTTTGACAGCTGTGGCTTTTCATGTGATTGTGTTGTAGGAAAACCTCAGCTTATAAAGATTCAATGAAATGGTGTGACACATGCAGTATTGACGTATTTAATATTGAAACCGCAAAGTGAAGACTATAAGACTATTTGCTAATACTAGTGGTTGGCAGGTGGTTTTAGGAAGAGTGACATTGTCATTTTAGAGTGCATTTGATTAGACAGACATTTCTATATATACCACTATTTATCAATATTTTAGGCCTATTTTTCCAGAGGAGAAGTTTAAATGTGTCACTGCACCTGTTAAAACTTAAATATGTGAATTGAAATTTTGCGTACCAGAACAGACAGAAATTGTTGTTTAAAGGTGCAGTATGTAATATTGACAGTTAGCGGTTGATATAGGTACTGCAGTCCAAATTCAAAATATTGGAGAGAGTCGTTTCTCCCGCCACCTCCTCCTCAGACTCAACGCTCATGCGAGTTGCCAGATTGATGACACTCGACAAGAATGAGCGCAATTGACAATAGAAGACAGTGAGCCTTATACAGCTGATGAGTTTATTTATCCATGTTTTAATATTCTTCTGGTCACAGAGCTTTTTAAATGGAAGCCGAGGCTTCTTAGGTGGGGTAGAATCTGCGATCTCTCACTCAGTTCATTTGCTGGCTTCTATGGCTGCAATACGCTGAGTTTTCTGCCATCTGGAAACCCAGGGTATAGATATTCTATTGGGTAAACTGACAGTGGACAGAATCACAGACCAAAACAAAAACAGACATTCCGACACAGAACACACATTTCAAAGTAGAATAACTGGCTGTAGCATTTTTTTTTTTTAAATATAAGTATGTGAACTTAGCATGTTTCCTAAATATCATATCATGGTATTTTTATGCTTTAGTACAGTCAAAAAAATACATACAGCACCTTTCAGTGTTGTTATTATTACGAAATTATTATAACTAAAACTAAAACTATATAAAAAATTATTTTTGTTAATTTAAATAAAGCTGAAATAAAATAAAATATACATATTAGATGAATATGAATTTTAGATTCAAAACTTAAACTTTCAAAACTTAAATGAAAATGAGAAATGTTGGCTTTGAGTTAAAGTACTAAAATTACTAAAATTAAAACTAAACTAAAATAAAAATATAGAGGGGAAAAAAAACAAAATTATTGAAACTAAAACTATATAAAAACTTAAAATAAAAAAATTAAACCTTAATCAAAATATTAATAAATACTATAATAGTATATAAATAATCCTAAATTAAATCTGGTCTCTTTTTCTTGTTTCATATCGAGTTGTGTACATAGGACAGCTGGTTTTAGGGATGTTAAGTGATAATATGATGTTATAATTTCAACAAAATTAACTGGAACGCGTGTTAACGTTCTTGTGATCATGCATTATGTGATTAATTTTTTAAGTGGAAAGTAGCCATTTGAACACTAATCTGGTAAAACTGTGTCTTCTGTGCATCTCTTACGAATCAGAGCCTGTTTTTACTTGATATTTTGAGTAAAAATACCTAAATGAACGAATGAAATGCTTAGTCTTTCATTTCACTTTGTAATCAAACTCAATTTTAAAGTGTATCACATTTATTTTTCTGCTCCCCGAGAGAGTTTCTCACTTAGTTCAGCTCTTTCCACACTCCTAGAAACCAGTGGAGCAAAGTTTGCGCTGAGTAATGATCTTTGGTGAAGCTCTGGTTTAATGTGTCTCACAGGTATCTGGAGGAAGGAAATGTCCAGATGGCAGCAGCTGAGAAACAAAGAATCGAAGAGCAGCAGAGAAACAGGAGGAAGTGGCTGGAGGAGAACAACATCAAACACCAGCCGCGATTCTTCAAGTCAGTGCTCTTCATCCACTTGCCTCTTCTTCTTCTGCTATTGAACTCCTGTCATGTAGACGGGACCTGTATTGATCTCTTCCTGAGGATGCACCCATTTTAGAGGCGTTTTAGGGGCAAAATTAATCATTTAAAAAAATGTGAAAAATCCTCCTTTCAGTTCATGAGTTTGGATGGAATTAATCACGTGCTGTTGAAGTGGAATTGCAATTCAGAGAAATTCAACAGTTGCAATAATGTTAGCACTTAATTTTGATTAATTGTAAAACAAATGTGACAAATTATACTAATTTTTAGTCCCTAATATGTAATCACCCAGCACCCTAGGTTGTATAGAATAAAATTACATCTATATTTCAGTTTAAAATTGAAATGAAAAGATGATGTCTTCACTTTCTGCAAAAATGTCTTTTGAATGGCAGAAATGTCTCCTGTTTAGCCCTTTTATTCTCTTTCTGGCTCCATCAGTGTCTTTTTGACCCATTATGGTTACACTTATGTAATTATATTGTCTTTATAAAGCTCAATAGTTATTTGCACAAAGTACTGATAGTGGTATTTGCTAACTAACACTGTTATTAGGCATTATTTCAGTGACCCATAACATTCAAGCACAAATGTATTTTTGAATGTAACAGGACTGAATGTCTGTAGTGCCAGTTTGGAAGAGGAAATTCTGTAATTTATGTTTGATTTATTATGACACACTGAAGCTGGGTGATCCAACCAGGATATACCTATTCAGATTATAAACATACAAATTACAAACTTACTATGACAGGGTTGAAACTATGTACCGCTTTCTTCACTGAATGATGAGGAGAATTATTGGAATTTGGGGCCTGAGGTGAGAAAAATGTTTAAAATATATATATATATATATATATATTTTTTTTTTTCTGACCTGGGACTGAATGAAGGTACCCTTCCTAATATGTACATTCCTGCAAAGAATGTTCTTAAAAATAACATAACTTCTTAAAGTTAGGATAACATCCAATTTGTCTTAAATCGACAAAAGTAATGTTTAATCAGTTTGAGTTGTTTCAATTATTAGGCATTAGAGAAAAATGTTTAAAATATATATATATATATATTTTTTTTTTTTCTGACCTGGGACTGAATGAAGGTACCCTTCCTAATATGTACATTCCTGCAAAGAATGTTCTTAAAAATAACATAACTTCTTAAAGTTAGGATAACATCCAATTTGTCTTAAATCGACAAAAGTAATGTTTAATCAGTTTGAGTTGTTTCAATTATTAGGCATTAAAACATAACACTTGCCAGATATAATGCATCGCAATATTACTCGGGATGTACACAAGTGTAAGGTGTGTTCGAGTTGATGTGAAACTGCGCAGACCGATCGGCGATGATAACGATGACGTGCTTCATGTTTATTCTGACACATTTGGTTCCGCTAACACTCACACACTCACAACAAAAACTCTTTTCGTGTCATCTTACTGTTATATTCTATCATCTTTATCAAAATATTAGTGTTCGTGTTTCAATATTATAGGCTTATGTTCATCTTCATTCTTTTTCATACAGGCACTATATGAAGCAGTGCATAAAGTTTTTTTTCTGTTTCTATACATGAAAACCTCTGTGTATGTGACAAATGTTGCATCTAATCCACTGCATCTGTGATAAAGTATGCAAACACTCCCCCGACTCGCTGATTGGTTAAATCCAGCCGCAGCCGAAGTAGAACACGACCAGTCTTTTGAAGTGTTTCTCATCGAGTTGATCACAAATCTTTAGTAAGAACTGCCTTACAGTCTGATAACACCAAAGCCTGTCGTTTCCTTTTAAAGGAATCAAATAAGATGTTCTTAACCCTCATGTTGTGTTCAGGTCATTTTGACCCAGAGAGGTTTTCTTTTTCCTGAAAATGATAGTTATTGTTATCGCATTAGACTAAAACCTGCTGACTGTGCTCACACTGGGTATAACAACAACCCAAAAAAATCTGATAATTTTTGTTGTTTTTTGGGACTTTTTTTCCACCTTGTTACTTTTGTGGTGTCAAAAATGACCAGACTACAAAGTATTGCTTATAAATGTCTTGTTACGCTATATTTATTACCATATATTGTATTCAAACTTTTTTTTTATCAACTTTTCTTTCAATTATCAAAGGTTTTTTATTTCTTTTTATAACTAATTTATTGTAGGCCTTATTCATGTGAGCTAATTCACCTCAGTTTTTGAGTGAAAATTTACAAAATGATCCACAAGTAATGCTTTTTCGCTCAAAAACAGGTGCATAAGCTCAGATCAGTGAGGGCTACGATCAATCAGTTCCGAAAAGAAATACAAACCCTGTGCTAACTGAAATAAAACAAGTTGACAAAAAGATTGAATCTAGGATTTGGTGATAATATAGCATAATGAGAGATTTACAAGGAATTTTTAAAAGGCCGGCCATTTTTGACCAGGAAAACACCAAATTAGGTTAAGAAAATATTTGAGACTCAACCACATTTGTGACCCTGGACCACAAAATCAGTCATAAGGGTCAATTTCTCGAAATTGAGATTTATACATCACCTGAAAGCTGAATAAATAAGCTTTCCATTGATGTATGGTTTGTTAGTATAGGACAGTGTTACTCATGCGGCTCGCCAAGCTTTAATGTGTGGCTCGCATGGCAGATGGCAGTAAATAATGCGATGATATGATCAATACAGATATTTAATAAAAACATTAAAAACAAGCAGGGCTATAACTAAGCCATTAAAAAAACTCACACCGTGTCTACACTGGACGACAGACGACAATAGAACACATTATAATTATGGCCCTATGATTTCTGCGATGCGGAAAATGCGGACGGAATTGCGGAATCCAGTCATAAAAACAGAATTTACTGTATAATGCGGAATGTCACGGAATTTGTCAAAGTTTGAGTGAATAAATCAAAAGTAGGTCATTACACTTAAATCAAATCGCAATATTGACTTTTAACCTGTGCTTCCTCTGTGTAACAGGAAGGTTATGGACAGTAACCAGAGGGAGAGATGGGTGTCTAACAACACATACTGGGAACTGCGCAAGGACCTTGGCTTCCTCAAACTAGAAAACCCTGAGCTGTGGTAGATCCAGATACCTGTGCTGATGACGCCTTCACTGCTGACTGCAGATGCTTACTATGCAGAACAGGAGCAGCCTGGGACTTCCCTCTAGATTTGGATTTTATGTCCAGAAATGGACTGAAAAAAAAAAAAGACTCTCTCCACATCACTTCGGCAGGCTCCGCCTCCATAGTCTCCCTCTCCATAGTAACAGAGAGACAGCGCTGTTGTCAGGGCAACAGTGAGAGCTGTAGAGCTGTTCACATGAAGCCGTTTGTGCTTCCTGTTAAGTCCTTGCCTTAAGAAGTCGCTTCTCAACAACAAAGTTTTACGCTTTTAGTGAAATTCCCTCAACTTCTTGGTTTAGATGGACTGAATTTGCTCTTGGTTACATTCTGCATGTGTAGATGGCAGCTTTCATCGGCAATATGTTTCACAAACTCGTCAAAACTACATTTAGACAATTTTAGCTGTATTTTTGTAAACGACCAAAAGAAGGGAATTGCTTTGGAAGTTAAAGCTGTGCCGTGACTGAAGTCGAACTGTCCCTCCTCATATTCGACGGCTCAGTGTGCACCATGTGCTGAACGTGTGACAGTTTTATAATTGTGCACTCCAAACCCTTTCAAACCCTTCCAAAGAATCAAGCCTGAAAGAGAATTCCTGGAGCCAGCCTGCAACACTGTGCAGAAGACGTCCCAGGACTTAGCCCTCACAGACCCCTGCATCTCTGTATCATTAGTGCTCTTTAAAGCAAGAGTGTGACATTTATGCACCACTAATGGCACCAAATCAAATTCAGGAAATGATTTTTTCCAAGCAGGTTCTACAAGCACTTGCCACCTTCAGAAAAACTAGCCAGTGCCCTGCGAAACCCAAACTTACACACTCTAAAAAATGTTGGGTTAAATATAACCCAGCGCTGGGTTAAAAAGGGACAAACCCAGCTATTGGGTTGTTTTGACCCAGAGGTTGGGTTGCTTTGACCCAGCGGTTGGGTTGTTTTGACTCAGCGGTTGGGTTGTTTTGACCCAGCGGTTAGGTTGCTTTGATCCAGCGGTTGGGTTGTTTTGACCCAGCTATTGACTTGTTTTGACCCAGCTATTGAGTTGTTTTGATAACAATAGCCGGTCAAAACAACCTTTTGTGCAGATGAAAGAAAGTCATACAGGTCTGGAATTATATAAGGGTGAGTAAATTATGACTAAATGATAAATTTGAACCATCCCTTTCTGTCACCATCCTGTCACAAGGAAAACATTCTTTAATTGAAAACTGAAAACTTTTTTCTTGATATGTTATCTTCAAATGTGGCGAAACTGTCAACCCAGCTAATTGATTATTCTCATAGCATTAACTTTCAGAACCTTCTGGCAAGTTCTTCCAGTAACATTAATAGAAAGTTTGTTCCAAGTTATCTGGCTTTTAATAACGTTCTCAAATCTTTAGCAAAAATGTTCTTTATGAATTGCCCAGGGAACTTTTTTCTAGAACATTTTATCCTTGACATGTTGGGTTCAGCCATAGCATTCTAGCACGAGTGACTCAACGCATCTGTCAAAGATATCCATCTAGCTCATTTTTTACATAGAAAATCTATTAAAAAACAGTGCTGTGAAAAACAAACGTTTGAATATAACAGTCACCTGAAAAAAGATGTTCCAATCAGCTAATGCTCTTTAGGTCTGATGCAGTAATTTATTAATGTCCCTGAAAATCTGGCAAGGAAATGAATAGCAGGATGTGATTGTAAAGTAGAACTGCGTGTGCAGAAGCTTTTGAATGTGAGTGTTTGAGTTTATTGTTGTTTAAGTACTTCTCTCAGTAAAGACTCTGTCTACTATTTCAGTCTGGAAACAACTTTTTACAAATTATTGACAGTTCCACAGAGTCTTGTGGCCAAAACGTTGCTGGACGCAATATCATTACATAACACTGTTGGTGGGCAGCACATTACAGCAAAGGCTTTGTAGTATTCTCTCTTAACCTCCTGAGACCCTGTGACCTCATATGAGGACATTATATTTTGGGGTATTTCTCTGAGACTATACATGCCACAGTTTTAAATCTGGATGTCCTGTACGGAGCACATTCAGGGCTTTTTTAAAAGCATGTTTAATAGCATTTTGGGAGACATAACACATGAATAGGGAAAGAAATGATGTTTCAATATTCTATGAAATATTATATATTATTATGAAAATCTTGTCAAATATTACTCCCATTATTACACTTCTTTTTTCATTACATGTTGCCCCCAAAACACATTAATATGCAAATTAAATTTAGTTTATAGATACATTGTATATAATGAGAAAACCCGTTTATGGCCATTTTACACACATTTTGCAGAGAGAAAAATGGTGTATCAAATCATTCTGAATAGTTGAGAATCATCTTTATACAAAGTTTGGTAAAAAAGAAAATCCTGAAAACTAAAAATGTATTGGTGATTTAAAAAATCTATTGTTTTTGCGGTTGGGTTGTTTTGACCCAGAGGTTGGGTTGCTTTGACCCAGCGGTTGGGTTGTTTTGACCCAGAGGTTGGGTTGCTTTGATCCAGAGGTTGGGTTGCTTTGACACAGCGATTGGGTTCAAAACAACCCAACAGCTGGGTTCGTCCCTTTTTAACCCAGCGCTGGGTTATATTTAACCCAGCATTTTTTAGAGTGCACCATTGGTTGAGCTAGAAGTCAGACGCACGTTGCAGTTAAAGGGCAAGTTCACCCAACAATGATAAATCTGTCATCAATTTCTCACCCTCATGTCGTTGCATGCCCATAAAGATTCAAAACAGTGTTTTTAATGAAACCTGAGTGGTTTCTGTCCCTCCATTGATAAATACAGGTAACCAAAACTTATAAGATCCAAAAAGGTTATAAAGTTGTTGTAAAACAAGCTCCTGTGTTTACCATATTTGTTGTGCTCTGCTGTTTGTTTCAATCACTGCTTAGATGTAAATGGTAACACTTTATTTCGATAGTCCACTTTAGACATTCTACTAACAGTAAGTAACTTTGCAACTACATGTCAACTAGCAGTCATTAGAGTATTAGTAGACTGTCTGCTTAATATCTTCTAACACTTTATTTTGATGGGTCAACAACATACAACATACTGACTATCAGAAACTTTGCAAGTATATGTCAACTTATTCTACTAACCCTAAACCTACCCTAACAGTCTACTCTGAGAGTTAGTAGACATGTAGTTGCAAAGTTACTTATAGTTAGTAGAATGTCTAAAGTAGACTATCGAAATAAAGTGTAACCGTAAATAAATAGTAAATTTATGCGATGAAAGTTTCTGTTCATGATATAAAGAATGTATATATATATATATATACAGTGGGTACGGAAAGTATTCAGACCCCCTTAAATTTTTCACTCTTTGTTAAAGATTTGGATTAAAATGCTTAATTGATGCCTTTGAGCTTTTTTTTCTTTTCTTTTTTTTTTTTGATCTTTTAAGTTTTGGTTACCTGGACTTTCAATGGAAAGAAGAAACCCTCTCAGGTTTCATTAAAAATATCTTCATTTGTGTTTCAAAGATTAACCAAAGTCATAAGGGTTTGGGAGACATGAGGGTGAGTAAACGATGACAGAATTTTCATTTTTGAGTGAATTATACACCTTGAACGCACCAGTGACCAGAAGACATGTACACTACATACGTGTACACTGTATTTTCTCTTGACTCTCTGTTCTAAACATGAACTTCACAACAAGAGCGACAGCGGCCTCTGCTGGCCTCTCAGTGCTACTGCATACTACATACTTAAGTTCCACACATCTCTGCTTACAGCAAATAAGAAATGGATGTCAGCAGTGTGTGGAATAGAAGGCTATCGTACTGCATACTACACATTATGCTGTAACATTTCATGTAGTGTACTACATTTTCACATGACCTCACCACGTGTTTAATTCAGCAAAGTCCAGATTTAATCTCGGATATAAATTGTTATATTTTGAATAAAAAATTAGACTTTTAGAAGTCTGAGTAAATACTAATTTAAAAAGATGTTTAGAAATCACGCTTGGTATTTGCGGTTAATCTGTCACGGAAATGGACGGGGAAGTCAAGCATGATGCATTGTGGGATACATCATTCGGTGTACTCGGGTTGTATACTGCATTGTAAATTTGGAACCGCACCCTACCATACTATTACTATTTCTGACACATATAGAGATGAAGTAGAAAAATTTGTATTCTAGTATGCGTTTCGAATTCAAAACTCCAGGTGAATCGGCCATATATTCAGCGCATACTGAAAACTTGCATGTTATGCAAACTACAGAAATATTTAGCTGTAGTATACTAGGCTGAATAACATACTACCAAATACTGTTTCTGCTGTATAACAGACTCGCAATATATACATAAACACCAAAAAGTTAAGATATTTCTACACAGATTGCATTAAAAATAATATTTTTATTTCCTAGATATCACTTCTTGAATTAAACATGCTGTGATAAATCATGTGACAACAATGTAGCAGAATGTTTCTAAATGTTTAGTGTTGCACAATGCATGCTGCTTTCCATACTATTTTTAAAACAGGCAGATACAGTATCCAGCAAAGTATGCAGTATGTAGTACACTAGTATTGTAGTGCGAACGGCCATCTAGTTTCTTACGTTTGATCTGGACCTCATTCATCGAAACACAAACATTCAAAGTCATTCGTAAAATCATTCTTGTGTAATTTGTTGCATTCGCAGATATGTATGCTTTATTTTCTTTAAAGGGGTCATATGATGCTGCTAAAAAGAACATTATTTTGTGTATTTGGTGTAATGAAATGTGTTTATGCGGTTTAAAGTAAAAAAAAAACATTATTTTCCACATACTGTACATTATTGTTTCTCCTCTATGCCCCGCCTTCTGAAACGCGTCGATTTTTACAAAGCTCATCGGTCTAAAAAAGCGATTTTTTAGATAGTTGTAAAGATTTTTAGTAGATTGAAAAGAAACAGTAGAATGTCAGTAGATGTAAAAAGAAAAGCCAAAAACAGTGTAGTCACAGTGACAGAGATGATCTCTGCCATTAGTATGTCACTGTTTGAGTCCTTCACTGTGCCTTAACGCATATGAAACCATATCAACACACCATACTGAGGACAGTCCATCCACAACACGTCATCTTTTGCACACTGACGCACTTTTTTTCCGGTAAGAGCCTGTAGAGCCCAACTACACTATAAAACACAGACTGCTGGAAATGAATGGCAGCCGAAAAAACAAGGAGGCCTTCACACAGGTGTGCATCTACAAAACTATGTAGAGTTCTTATATTGCAGATACTCCATGATCGTTGTTTTTGTTTTTTTCTGTTAAGATGAGACGATTGCTGATCTGGATCTCATCTGACTGAATGTTTGTGAAGCTTATAGAGAAGATCAAACCTATGATGGGGAAAAAAAAAAATACTAGGTTCTGTCGAGTTCCTTGTAGGGAAAGACGCTGTAGTGAGTGCATCCGCTGTTAGTTTCTCAACATTGCATGAAAACATGTCACAGCCTGCCAATGATCTCTGATGCCTTATTAAAGCGACCGTTTAGTTTCTATCTCATTATATACTCACTGAGACATCCTGCACTGTGTGTGGGAGTTTTATTCATGTGTTCAGCTTTCCTCTGAAGAAGTGCAATTGTACGGTGACATCTCTCTCTGTTCACAGCTGCTCCAGTGCTCCACTGCTGTACAACTCCTGACGTGTCATTAGGACACTCTCCAGACCTGCTGTTTCACATTTAAATACATAGTAAGAAATACATATTTGTGTTCTAAGTCATGATCTGTATTCTGTGTCTGTTATTTATTATCAATCTCATTTTGCAACTAGAATTCAGAACCTCAGATTAAAGAGAT